AAACACAGGAAATCCTAATTTGGGACCGGATGACCGTGCATGATTTGTTCCCAGTTATTTATTTACTTAAAATTACATTTAACAATTTAAATCCAAATTAAGATAAATTTTGTGAATGAAATCAGTGTCCACTCTACGGCATTGAGTCTATAAATGTTGGCGAGCATATCGGTTCAATGATTGCTCATTCAGATGGAGTCCCGCAGTTGACGTAGGTGTACAGCTCGGCCACAGAACAATGTTGATGGGTAACACCCACATCAGAGATTTTCTCACGGTTTATCGCATACTAATATTAGATAATATACTGTAGGGTGATGTGAACGTCTATATGCAACGCTAATAATCTATACTAATATTATAAAGAGGAAAGATTTGTTTGTTTGTATTGAATAGGCTCCGAAACTACCGTACCGATTTGAAAAATTCTTTCATTGTTTGGAAGCTACACTATTCCCAATTGACATAGGCTATAATTTTTTTGAAAAAAATTACTAAAGCTCCAATAATGTATCCCAAGGTGTAAAAAATTACCTAAAATATTCTTTACATCGCGTGCCCTGCGAAAACTATTCATGATAGAATAAAATAATGTCCTACGACTTTGTAGAACACATTATTATTTACAAAAAGTGTCGCGACAGCATATGTCTAACTATTATAGTTATGCCGCAATAAGTGTTCTTTTATTTAAAAAAATAAAATAACATCAAATATCGTTGAAATTTTTGTTAAAGACCCGAACGGAGCCGGAGCGGGCCGCTAGTTTATAATATTTTTATTTTTGTATAGGAGAATCAGTAGCGGTAACGATTCTCAATGGTTTATTCAAGTATTATACAATACTAGAGGTCCCGCAGTAGTCGAAATTCGACTATAATTGGAATTGAAAGTTTGTACACTATTATGATTGTATTTTATACTTCTATAATCACAAATTTCGCCAAGGCTACACTATAAAAAATATTAATAAAGACAAACAATATTTAATCTATTCTCAATTTGACCACAGACGTCAAGAACAAAAGTTTGACAATAAATAGTATGCATGCGTGTGTGCGTCAAATACATGGTATGTAGTGTGTGTAATGTTTTCTTTATTGATTTAATGTATCTTTTATGCATTATTTTAAAAAAATATTAGCATTGTGCACTNAGACTACACTATAAAAAATATTAATAAAGACAAACAATATTTAATCTATTCTCAATTTGACCACAGACGTCAAGAACAAAAGTTTGACAATAAATAGTATGCATGCGTGTGTGCGTCAAATACATGGTATGTAGTGTGTGTAATGTTTTCTTTATTGATTTAATGTATCTTTTATGCATTATTTTAAAAAAATATTAGCATTGTGCACTCTTTCTTTATATTCTCTATTAGTGTGAAAATTTTCATACTCCTCCGTCCGCGCAATATGCGTAAAAAGGGATACAAAGTTTTTGCTTCACGTATTAATATAAAGATTAAACAATCAATTTAGTACTTTTACTCGTTATCGAAATTCGTTGAAAAATAGACAGATACCTGTATTAAATATAGTCGTATATGTATAGTACTCTTAAATATAGTTTCGTGCATTATTTCTCTAGATACCTATCAAACATTTTATGTTTATAAGCGGTGTGTATCTGGAATCTGGATTTAGAGTTAACGTTAAGAACAAAGCGGGCAGATAAACTCTTTTAAATTTTTAAATTTAATAAACTTAGCATTTTTTATCGTCTAACTTTTAATCAACGTCTACCTAAATATATCCTTAAAATGCACAATGCTCAAACCAGTTTTATTTGTTTTCTTTGAGTTCTATAATCTCAAACTGTTTTACTTTATATATTAAAAATGTATACTTTTATGGCTTTAAAAGCAATTTATTAAAAGATAAAGTTATTTAGAACTGAAAAAGCTTATGTCTACGAGAAATATTTTATGCATTTCCTAGTAATTTTTATATTTAAATATCTGGTTTCTGCCCCTAAGGAGCTATACGTTCCTATATGAAGAATGAAACTGCCGTTTACGTGATATATCTACTTGTGTCCTGGACCCAATGTGTTGCGGCTCCAATACCCACTTAACTCTATGAGTGCCCTGAGCTAGTTAAGCCATCTCATCAGATAATATTGCAAAACTTGACAGTCTTTGACTTGAAAAATGAAATTTCTCTCTTAAAATGGTACAGCAACAGGGGTAAACATTTTTATAATAAAACATTTCTCTACGAAGAGCAACTATATCAAAGCACTTCATCGTTCATTCACATCTGTATAGAAGACTGTCAGTGAACGAAAAATCTTATGCTGTACGTTGTTTAATTAGTTTTCTTAATTTCTTTGCGACGATGAAACACGGCTGGTTATTAAAATCGTACATTTGTGTTTCAAGACCGTAAATATGTATATTATTTATATAACTAGTCAGGTCATAAGTATTGTCACACAGTAAAAACTTTTCTTTTTAGAATGCTGGCCACAAAAAAGTTTATTGAATTCGAATTACGAATTGTTCATGAAAATAAAAATGTATACTTTTAGAATTTTACTCATTTTTAAATATGGAGTGGATGCTTAAAGAAGAGCGTGTTGCAGTTATTGCGTTGCATCGTTGCGGTTACGCGCCAAGTCAAATTTTTAACATACTGAAAAATTTTAATATAACCAAAAGATTCGTTTATCGTACCATCAAACGATACAATGAAGACTCTAGTGTAGATGACAGGTCAAGAAGAGGTCGCCCTCGGTCTGTTAGGACTCCAGCAGTAATAAAAGCTGTGAAGGCGCGAATTCAAAGAAATCCCAAACGTAAGCAGAAACTGTTGGCCCTTCAGATGGGGTTAAGCAGAACCACGGTGAAAAGGGTGTTAAATGAAGACTTAGGGCTTCGGGCATATCGAAGAAAAACAGGACATCGTTTGAATGCTCGTCTAATGGACCTGAGACTGAAGAGATGCCGCGCTTTGTTGAAGCGGTACGCGGGAAAAAAATATCGGGAAATTCTTTTTTCGGATGAAAAAATTTTTACCGTAGAAGAGAGCTACAACAAACAAAATGATAAGGTGTACGCACACAGTAGTGAAGAAGCGAGCAACCGTATTCCGCGTGTCCAACGAGGTCATTTTCCATCCTCGCTCATGGTATGGTTGGGAGTTTCTTATTGGGGCTTAACAGAGGTACATTTTTGTGAGAAAGGTGTAAAAACGAATGCAGTTGTGTATCAAAATACAGTCCTGACGAACCTTGTGGAACCTGTTTCTCATACCATGTTCAATAACAGGCACTGGGTATTCCAACAAGATTCGGCGCCAGCTCATAGAGCGAAGAGCACACAAGACTGGCTGGCGGCGCGTGAAATCGACTTCATCCGGCACGAAGACTGGCCCTCCTCCAGTCCAGATTTGAATCCGTTAGATTACAAGATATGGCAACACTTGGAGGAAAAGGCGTGCTTAAAGCCTCATCCCAATTTGGAGTCACTCAAGACATCCTTGATTAAGACAGCCGCCGATATTGACATGGACCTCGTTCATGCTGCGATAGACGACTGGCCGCGCAGATTGAAGGCCTGTATTCAAAATCACGGAGGTCATTTTGGATAAACTTTAGTGTTATAAGAATCTATGTTTTGTTAAGTTCATTTTGGTATATGAATGGTTACATAATGAATAAACTTGTTTCAATTATTTTACATTAAACATGTGACAGAATTTATGACCTGACTAGGTATAACTAGCTGACCCGGCAGATTTCGTAGTGCCTCTAATAAATAAAAGACCTAAACTTTTGTATAAAATAAACTTAAAACCGACGGGGATACATCAAAGGAAAAACAAAGTTGCTATTTTTATTTAATTCGGATTTATCTACCTTTTAAACCTTCTCTGAACTTCCACAAATAATTCAAGACCAAAATTAGCCAAATTGGTCCAGCCGTTTTCGAGTTTTAGCGAGACAAACGAACAGCAATTCATTTTTTATATATTATATAGATAGCAAAATAAATTCACATAAAAAAGTACATACCATAAAAATCACACTGAAAATGTTTTCGATGTGAACTGAGCTATAGCGAAATAAACTGACGAATAGAGGATTAATGTCCATAATTTAGCCATAACCTTAAAATTTACTCTTTTGTGTAGGTACAATGCACATTCCCACCTTAGAGATTTTGACGAACGTTTTCAAAGACGGTCGCTTTTGAATTGGTCGGTACTCCTTGCCTCTTTCATTCTCCTAAACGACCCTATTTTATAACCTAGTATGTAACAACTGACTGGGATCTTATGGTTAAAAAAATTCTCTAAATTGTCACGTGGCCAGTCATGTTATACTTATTCATATTATTGTTAATAATGGTATTCAGTGTTAAGAACTGAGTATTAGTTAATATAAAGGTTAAAAAATAACATTTGGTGAACCAAGGTAATCTTGAGTACCTACCTAATATTTTTTTTAAGATCTAAGATTACATTTCAACGGCAGTACCAAGGCTCCGGAATTAACTCCACTTAGCGGTGCTCCACGAGCGCTATCACATGTCCATGTTCAAACGAAGTTTGAGAGGAGTCCTTAGCGGTAAGCAGCTGCTTGGTTATTGGTTATTATATGGTTGCTATTGTCCATGAACAACGGGTATCATATATCATAAGGTAAACCGTCGACTCATCTGGCACGACACAATTGGCTGATGCGGTTTTTTGTGTGTCACTTATTTATCAACTTGGCATTTATAGGCTATGTTAGGCATATATATGTATGTATATATATCATACATATCAAAATGAGCACGTAATTGACTTTAAGGCATTATTTATTTGGCGAATTTCTGAATTGATAATCTTTGACCTTGCATAGTGCGGCGTCGAGGTCTTTGTCAGGAGCCAAAAAAGGAAAAACCTTTATTAATTTATCACTTAATTATGAATAAATATATTTTAAAATTGGGAAACGTACTACTCTAAAACAATTTATAAATTAAAATAAAATGCTTTCGGTAAAGGACATACATATAGTAATCGTTTTCATTTATTTTAAAATAGACAATTTGTTACATAGTGTCCGGAACGGACAGTCTATAAGGACTCTAAAATATGGTATTAAAAACTAACCACAAAAACATTCTTACAATCACTAATATTTATACGTAGATATTATAATTTCTAACAATGAAATTTTGTAACAAAACTTGTATCGTGTCATTGTTCCCTTTCAGCAAGACGACGAACGGTTATGTATAGCTGACGGATTACCTACTTCCAACAAAGGAGACAACTTTATATTATAATCATCTTATACCTAAGAGTCTTATACCTTGATCGCATGTTGTGTTTATTATTCTAAATAATTCTTTGGTGTTCTGTCGCTATATTTGTATTTGTAAACATTAGGTACTTATTGAAAATAAGATAACAATCAAATCTTTTTAATTCTTTGGTATTTTTAGACATAGAGTATACATATAGGGTATGTACAATATGTGCATTTACAAAAAAGTTTTGTATGCAATTCGATGAATTGTGTAACCTAATTAATCTACTACCTAAAATGGCACTGTTGGATCAGAAATAAGAATAAAACTAGACGTTATGTATATTGCGTACAGATACACGGTCGATTTGAGTCCTATCATTATAGGTATCAATCGAATTAAAAATTAAAATAGTTGCTTTGTGAAATACAGTTAATTCACTTTTTGTTTATTAACTCGTATCACGAATGCATATAGGTCGATAATAAAGTGTCATGAGCTGAATTTAAAGCTTAAAATTCGCCAATACTAGTAGACCTATTGAGGTTCTAATGCAAGCCGTTATTCGACTGGTATTTGGTTTGGAAGCGGTATCTGTCCCTCCAGCGGTGCACCTGGTTTTGGATGCGAGACACGTCTGCGGCGTACGTGCGACAGCAGCCGCCCACGTACCTCACGCCGAGGTCCAGCCACTCCTGTATGTATATCTCCACGGGCTCGCACTTGTCACGGTCTATCCAACTAAAATAATCAAATTTATGTAAATGTTATACATACATATCGACGCTTGAAAGGCAAACGCGACTAAGCGACCATGCGTGAACTTTACAGTAGACTAATCTAAAGTTGAAATACCTGAAAAAAATTCTATTTTAACGAATCTAGCTGTAGGATTGAAATGATTTTAATAGACCTAGAAATATATGTTTTTTGCGCATTGAATATGGTTATTGCCTATCATTTATGTATAAAGCAGTTATTGTCGCTTAGTCACGTTTGCCGTTCAAGCGTCGATATTATCAATGATTTTTTTAACTGTAAAAGAAGAGTAATCATGATAAAGAACTATCGACATAGTCAAAATAAAGTACAATATATATGTATTACCAAACGACAAGGATATATTTTCAATTGTCTTAAAAGTTTTTTTTTTCTTTTAGCACACTATACCTAACCGACAAAAACCCTTTTCATTAGAATTCGCGAAAGCTAGATGAGCCAAAGCTTTGGTTATAATTGGTAAAGTGACCTTGTAATCCACTTACCCTATTTGAGGATTATATTTTTCGCCCGAATTAGGGTAAACAATAAGCGGAATTGGGGCTTGTGGCCTGTCGTCATTGAAGCCCTTCATTAAGTTAGAGACGAAAGACGGAGCACAACAATTCACGCCTACAGCCACTAACTGATCCGGATTCAATTCCCAACACTTCTTGGCGACTTTTTGAAAACTTTCTCCATGGGCTATACTTTGATCGTCCTAAAAAAATATTAATCTATTGTATTGGAAACTTATGCTAAGTGTAGCACGACACGGCAAGTGTAGTAAGTTGTCGTGGCCTAAAGGATAAGACGTCCGGTGCATTCGTGTTGAGCGATGCACCGTGTTCAAATCCCAGGCGGGTACCAATTTTTCTAATAAAATACGTACTTAACAAATGTTCATGACTGACTTCCACGGTGAAGGAATAACATCGTGTAATAAAAATCAAACTCGCAAAACCATGATTTGCGTAATTACTGGTGATAGGACCTCTTGTGAGTCCGCGCGGGTAGGCACCACCGGCCGTCCCTGTTTCTGCCGCAGCAGTAATGCCGAAGCGTTTCGGTTTGCAGGATGAGGCAGCCGTTGTAACTATACTGAGGACCTTAAAACTTATATCTCAAAGTGGGTGGCGCATTTACGTTGTAGATGTCTATGGGCTCCAGTAACCACTCAACACCAGGTGGGCTGTGAGCTCGCCCACCGATGTAAACAATAAAAAAAAACAAGTAAATTATTCACCTGTCTAAGTCTATCAATGTCTTTGGTTTTAGTTGAATAAATTTATTCGAAATAACACTTAATTTAAATTTGTTATCGTTCACGGAGTATGTTTTTTCAAGTTGCCGAACCAGCCCGGAAAGTATTCAAATGTTTACAAAATAAACAGCGTTGTAAAGTCCCGACTCAGTTATTTCGTATTCTAAAACATTGCAGTCGGTCAATTTTACAAATATTAAATTCGCATTCATTTGAAGAATGTTAAATAAAATCTCCTATTCGTTGTAATTCTCACACCTATACAAAACATTTAAACAAATTAAATTTTATACTTTTTTTTTAAACGTTTCTTTTTTTGACTCTCCTAGTAGGCTGCATAAGAGCAAAAGGAATAAAGAAGAGATCATAAAATGAAAACTAATCGTGTTTTGGTTTAACAAAATAAAATGAAGTGAAATGGAGCTTCATACTTACTTTACAACTGAATGCAAGCCAAGCCTTTGTACCCGGAAACTCCCGTAGAAGATCACACAATGTCTCTGCTTCCTCTTGACATGGAATTGTCTCTAGTGCGAGGAGGTCTACTCCCGCTTCTACCAGCGCTTGAATTCGGGGCCGATGCCATTCCCGCATAGTCTAAAAAGTACAACCCATTGATTACTATTCTGTTTTCAATATTTATATGGAGATAAGGATTATCTATACTAATATATAAATCTACAGTGATTTTTACGGACGTTTCGCTATAACTACTGAACCATGCATCCGATTGATTTGAAACTTGGTATCCATGTAGAAAATACATGTATTTAATGGATAGGCTAATATTTATATGAGTGTTGGACTCCCTAATAGTAATGACCATAAATAATAACGTTCATTTTAAATGCCCAGCGAAGCGGGCGAGTACGGCTAGTATTTGATAAGCACAATAAGGTTAATGAAATTCCTGAATATCCCAGAACTACCCATGTAAACAATGGAAATTTTCCAGGCACATAGACATCAATATGAATGCTGACATTGAGATGGCTATCCCTCTTTTCAGAATAAAAACTGAGAAGGAATAGAAGCAATTACATAAGAAAATATTGTGAAGATACTAATATATAGTAGTAGAATTTCGAATGATCCGTCTATAAGAATTATTGGAAACTAATACAGTCAAACCTGGGTAAGTGAGAACTGGATAAGTAAGAAAACTCTATAAGTGAGAGTAATAGCAAGGACCCGTCATTTTAAGCTCCCAAAACCTCTATTAGCGAGAAACAGAAACCTCTGTAAGAGAGAGTCGTTTTTTCCTCATGGATCTCCGTAAGTGAGACTGCTACCTATCTATACCTCTATAAGCGACAGCCGAGCTTTATTTATTTATTTATATTATTTAGGAGGAACAAATTACAAAACAAATTACAAATTTAACATCTGCTGTTTTATGACTCATTTTTAACTTTCGTGGAACTTCCTATCATTGTTTTTGAATTGTTTTCTCGTCAATATTGAACCTATTCTATTTTGTGGAACTAAATAACGTTGTTATTTTATCGTATTCTTTTATCGCATTATTTTCGAATGGACACGTGTGCCTGTGTATCGTCCTGTTTGTCGGACTTACTCAGTTTATCGTTAATCAATTGCGAAGGAAAGTTCTGTTCTGCATCATGTAAAAACGGAAAATTAAAGTACTGTCATTAAAGTCATAAACTTAAAATAGTGAATGCATTTAAATGCGGAAAATCGCGAATCGAAATTTAGAGGGAGCATTAGCGAGAAACTCGGGTTAGTGAGAAACCTCTATAAGCGAGAATGAGATTGTGCTCCCTTGAACTCTCGCTTATCCAGGTTTGACTGTAGTTGGTAGTAAAATGACGAACTAGCTGTGTCTTCTTATCGAAAGCCGGATAAACTAATCATGTTTGATCCTTTGAATTGACTTGCATCGTCATCATATTTATTGAAAGTTATTCTGGAACGAATTCAATTATGTTCGGTATTTCAATAGTTCGATCAAGTTTAAAGCGTTCTTGATAGTAAAAACAAATACCTTTTTTTTGTTGTCTACAAGACAAATGTAATAAAACAACAAATTCAATTTAATAAGCAATTCAAATTCCGTTCGAAATGGTTGTTTCAGATATCCATTTGTACTAGGTTTCGTTAATTAACTGTCCACCCCACAGTTAAATGCTTTCTGACAACAAAAAAAAACATGAGAAATGGAGTGGGAGTTTTTCATACTGCCGATGTAAATTTTTAATTTGCAGGCAACTTTACGGCTCTCTTTACGATTTGACCGGCGCTTTAAATGGCTTTTATTTGACTGTGCATTTATGATCTTAAAATCGTGGCTCTGTGCAAATGGTGTTTTGGAATATTCGGAATGGAAAATGCAGAAAAATGCAAATAAGTTGGTATAATAATAGACTAATATTGCGTATTGCGTAATTTACGAAAGTTATTTATTAGCGTTTGAGTAGCAACTGCTTGGCATGGGAAGACCTGGTCGCCCTGTACATACTTGGCGACGCACCGTGAAGAGCGAGACGAGGACTGCCGGCATGACCCGGAGTGATATCAAGGAGCAAGCGCAAGACAGGGCCAATTTGAGACAACTTGTGAGGGGCCTATGTACCTACCACCGGGGTACCCTAGGACAACAACAATATTTACTTCGTGATCAAAATAAAAATGCTATCAGCTATGCGACACAAAGTCTATATGATGTCGAAAGTTAAATTTTTATTTTTTTATTGCCCTTGTAGGCAGACGAGCATACGGCCCACCTGATGGTGAGTGGTTACCGTCGCCCATGGACTTCAGCAATGCCAGGGGCAGAGCCAAGCCGCTGCCTACCAACGCTCATCCGTAACATTTGTAACATATCATTGGTAGGAAGAAATATGATATGGTGTCATTCGTCGCAGACTCAAAGCGATCTACAATCATTGTAATTTATATACTTTCAAGTTCTAGTTTCGCTTTACAGTCAACTACTTACTAACATGGCTTATGTACCTAAGTGAATTTACAACTTTTGCAGGATTCGAACAAGGACGTTCACAATATTCATGGTATTAATAATGAATTAACGTTAATGGCATGAGTGACTAGAGAGAGAAAGAGAGGTTTTTCACCCAAGGGTATAAAAATTGAATTCAAGATTTAAAAAAGAATTCGAGATAGCAGAAAATCACTCTGACGAAAGCTTTTATTCAACAAAACCTTTTAACTGATTCCGTCAACAATCGAATGTAATCGACGCCCATAAATATTTAATTAACTGAAAGGGGATTGAAATCTCAAGGCAAACCTTTTGTAAATTTAAAAAATCTGTCCAAATTGATTAGGTAAATTCTAGTCGACACTAAAAGAAATGTTTTAGTTAGCTTTTTCTAAATATATTTCTTTAAGAAATCACTGTATTTGATATACCTCTATTGACGTGGTGTCTGCATAGCTGCCATCGTATTCGGAACCGTCGTGAAGATGAGCTCCATATGGTCCGACTGAACCCACTATGAGTGGAATGTCATCTAAAAAAAAATTAAATAAAATTATTCAGCAAAACACATGTAGACTCTATGTTTTAGCGCTATTTGAATAGAATACCTTTCAACCCTTGAAAAGTGTAATTAATGCGTGCTTGCACCCGACCCTCGCGGGTGCGAACCAAAGATTCTTTGTTTACTACAAAATGCAAACATTCTTGAAAATTCACAGGGGAACAAAGAATATTACATGTAGGTACTCCAAAGCTAAAATTAAACACTATTTTGTGACTGTGTAACTGATTGACTTCATTATAAAGTGTGACACTGTGAAAAATCGATTTTAACCTGAATACCTACCATTTTGAACGTAGTCACGGTATTCTTCCAGATAGAGGGTGCGGGCTTGTTTAGCGAGCTGAACTGCGCGGGCTATTAATTCATAACCTTGTTCTTTCGTTACTCCCAGATGCTCTACGAAGCCTTCCACTGAAGCTTGGTATGTGTTGGTAATGATTAAATCAGCCCCGGCTGCAAATAAATTGAAATCGATCAACTACCAGAAAGAGGAGAATTCTTCTTTGTGCAAAAAAGCATATTCTCAATTACCCATATGTAAAAAAAAAATTCAATCATTGAAACCTCAACCATAAGCCTGAACTGTTTAATAATTTCAATCAAATTACGTTCGTTATTCACTAAAATCCAATTAGAATGTTCTTAACATTTGAAAACGATATTTCTCATACTATGTTAGTGTACACGTAATTGCGAGTTAAAATGTGAGCTTAATTTTGTTTCATACTATGCTTTTAGTATGAACGAACAGTGGAGGCGTAAACAAATACGTTATTAAAACTTAGTAAGTAATGCAACTCGAGCTCGACTAGGTCAGTAATAAGGAAGCGAGACCGGGAAAAGCGAACGGTTCTGTCGAAGAAAATAATTATGTAATAAACAGAAGGCGGAGCGAGGCTTGCGAATGGAAAGGTATTAGACAGACAACGTGATTAATGAAGCGGCGTTGTATACCCGTAACTATAGTCTGTATACGAGGCACCGGTATTATACCGAGTACTCGTGTCTTGCCGCCTGCGTACCTTGTTGTATGCAAATGAGAGGTGGTTACTAGATGACGGAGAAATAGCGGCATCACTTGGCAACTGGCTGCAACGTCAATCATAATAATCACAGAGGAACAGCTGAGACTTGCTACCTAACTCTGTCCCAGATGATACGTTACAACTACGTAATCATTGTAGGCAAGAACAGCTCTTACTGCCTACACGTTTTGCAGCAAATTACAGTGAATCCGTTTGCAAATAAAAGAAAATAAATGAATGTATTAAAATCGTTGGCCTTTTCACATCTCGCATTTGTCATTCTTAAAGAGGATGTGAAACGTTTTCGTAATTCTGCAAAGTACGTGGTCATATTTTATTTTTTTCACATCATATCTCCCAGAAGAAGTTACAAAGCAAGGCAGTAGGCTTTTGCCTCCAGGGAGTTATTTGCTTGCAGACACTTTTCAGCTTTTGCCTATGAAAAGAAACGGTCCGTTTTGTGGCGAAGAAAAGCGCTTTCAGGGGACGATGACACGAGACGAGGTCACACTCTCGCTGTCAGATGCAACAGAATGACGGACAAAAACTGAAGTTAACTGAAAATCGATGTATAAAAACTACGAGCGTGTGTCCTCGTTATTATCGCAGATAAGAACATCTAATCTAGTCAGACGAATCAAAATAAATATTTTGTGCTATAGATATGAATTAAGAGTAAAGTGATTTAATAACATCATCATAATCTATCATCATAAACCAATAAACATTATCTTTATACGTAATACGAGTACATAATATGTTCACGTAGCAACATGTCTTGCAGTTTCTGGCCGTGATTTCGAAATAAGAATCTTTTTATGTTCATTTTCGTTTGACTAAAAGCAAAATGGGATATTTTTTGTTTGTCTTTCTTATTTTAGAAACGGTTTCGCGGTTAGAAAATATTTTAGGTGCTTTTTTATTCTAATAATAACTAATTTACATACAAGAAGTATGTTAATTAAGAAGAAATTGTACGGGGAGCGTTCATAAGATATAACGTAGTTTTATCACAAACGTAATGTGTACACACAGTTACTTCAGAAGAACTATTTAACACGACTCTATCGGCTTTACCTCCGGCCAATGTAATCTTTTTAATATATTTAACCTATATTTTTCAGCTGTTCTTCTATTTTTATTTCTACACTTTCTATTCTCTGTATTCCAAACCTTTAATAACTCACTTATCTATCTACATAATTTTAGTGTACGGGTCTCTTGAGATCTGCTAGTCTCGTGCTGCCTATTTTTTCCACAAAGCAGTCATGTGTTTGATTTAAAAGTAGAATATCAGACCAATCAACACAATTCAGAATTTAACCTCATGTCTCAAGGCAGATGGGGTGGCATTCACATTTTTACATCTCCATATTCTGGTAGCCGTTGAACACCAAAATGTCTCATTTACCCTTGTGTCTGCCGAATTAAAACGGCAATCAACTTCTATCCTACTGTTGATATAAAATAATGTTTTTTTAAGTATATTAAAATACTGTTCAGTGCGTTAGTTTAGTTTTGAAACCATAATGAACCATAGGTAGTCGCCAGCTCGCCGCGCCTTTTTGAAACAGTTGCTCTTAATTCGTCATCTATTTTTTAAATATAAAATAAATTGATTATAATATATAATAAAATAATATTTAGGCTAAGTTTTTATTTCGCTGCAATGGTAAGTGACCAAGTACACAGCCTACTTAGAATCAAGTGATACTCGAGCTCATACATAATATTTATTACATTTTTATCTACCTAATTAAACTATAATATATTTTTATCTACATAATCGTTGGTAGCCTAAGGGCTATTCCAATTACTCGCGGAACAATCGGAAAGCTCACGGGCTCAACCTGAGAGTTTGCTAACAGTTTGCTGAGAGTTTGCTAACAGAATCCCTAGCAAGAGCAGTGCTTCGCTGAATCTACCACCGGATCGGATTCGCGACCCACTGAGAAGATAAGACGAGAGACTCAGTGGGTTTTATATTATTATATAAGGACCGTACTTTACCCTAATGTGATAATACCCGTTCTTGCTTAAATCTTACAATATGGGCTATTACAAATATACAAATTTTGCGGGATTTCAACACAAGCATGGTCGCTTTATACAAGTAGGTACATCGGACGTCTTATACTTTAGGCCACAAGGACTTCATAAAGAAGTATTATAAGTACTATTATGAGTTTTTTTTTGTGGCATAGATGGGTGAACGAGCTCACAGCCCACCTGGTGTTAAGTGATTACCGGAGCCCATAGACGTCCATAACGTAAATACCGCCACCCACCCTGAGATATGAGTTCTAAGTATTAGTATTATAGAGAATACAGTTACAGTCTGCCCCACCCTTAAAACCGAAACGCATTACTGCTTCACGACAGAAATAGGCAGGGTGGTGCGGACTCACAAGAGGTCCTACCACCAGTAATGAGTATGAGAATATAAGTACGTGAAAATTTATCAGATATCACTTTTAATGTTATAATATTAAAAACCTCAACTATTATATGCTTTCATTATCAAAAATTATTTTTAATACGCTGTTATTAGCTTCAGACGTATGTTAGTATGTAACGGAATCTTTGAACATGATTTTTATCCCCTTCAAAACGTCGGATTAACTCAAAATTTGGGATACTTATTAAGGACAGATGACAATTCAATATTTAAAAAAAAAAAGAAAAAGTTGAAATTCAACTAAAGAATGAAAAATAAATAATATTTTAAAAAACTAAAAAAATACGCTTTTATAGAAAATCCAACTAAAAAATATAAAATAAATTTTAATAAATTTGAATTAAAAATAGTGTTAGAAAAAAGTTTTTTTTGTAAAAAAAGCGTATTTCATTTTTAGTATATATAATAACTTACCTCTCAAAAAATCGAGATGCGTATTGACAACTTCGTTTGGATGTGTGTGGATAAAACGAGCACTCCACAGTGGATCACCGTCGATGACATGCCCGACGTGGCAAGACAACTGTGTCGAGAACCCACCGTCCAGCACAACTATGTGCGGAGCTTCTGTATTCTCGCTGCTAGGTGGAGTCATCGTTCGAGCTTTTTGTCCAGATTTGTCTAGACAGAAATATGTAAAACAGATAAGTAAGGTGATAAAAATGCCACTTACACAACATTGTAGATAAGTTAACGCACATTTGGTTCGAATAATATCGTCAAATAGGTTCACGTCCTTTCGTTCATTCTGTAGTCTTTATGTCGAATGTGCAGTAATACAGTGCCGTAATCACTACATAGTATAAAACAAAGACGCTTTCTCTGTCCCTATATCTGTCCCTATATATACTTAAATCTTTAAAACTACGCAACGGATTTTAATGCGGTTTTTTTTAATAAATAGTATGATCGAAGAGGAAGGTTTACATGTATAATAACATCCATTAAATAGTGGAGAAATCAATAATAAATTTCAGTTTCCGAAGCGATGCGAGGGCAGGTCGCTAGTATATAATATATACAAATAAAATAATGGTACACTCCACAGCCAGAGCAACTATGATCGGATATTAACAGTAGGTAATTAGTATCGTAGACGTTTCGCAGTTCTTCATTTAAAGAAAACACTCAATTATGTTACCACCAAAGTAAACTGCTCGTATTTAAATTATATTATTATAATTCAGTACACGAAACCCTCAACCTTAGATTTTCAGAAGATTTGCGTCTATTTTCTGTTGATTGTGTGGGATTCCAGAATTGAAAGCAACTTGTAATTATATGATAATTATAGTTATGATATTCAATTTAGTACATATCAAGAAAAGTTATAAGTATCGAGCAAATGTAGGGCCCTGTCCGGCGTCCCTCTATCATAATGCGATCAATAGGTGTCTGAGTTGGGAATTGGAACGGAACGAGGAAGAGCTTTGCATTGACAGTTGTATCTATAGAATTAATTATCTTTGTATGTACATTTATAATAAACTAGCTGACCCGGCAGACTTCGTAGTGCCTCAATCTATACATAAAAGACCTAAACTTTTGTATAAAATAAACTTAAAACAAACAAAAGGAATCCGTCCGACGGGGGACGCATCAAAGGAAAAACAAAATTGTTATTTTTATTTAATTCCGAGTATTTTCATATTTATCTACCTTTTAAACCTTCTCTGGACTTCCACAAATAATTCAAGAGCAAAATTAGCCAAATCGGTCCAGCCGTTCTCGAGTTTTAGCGAGACTAACGAACAGCAATTCATTTTTATATATAGAGGTAAAATAAAAAAACATTGTGTCGATCATTTCTATTTCTAATTATAGTGGTTCTATTTCAGTTCTATTTCTAGTTATAGATTACTGGTGGAAGGACCTCTTGTGAGTCGGCGCGAGTAGGTACAACCACCCTGACTATTTCTGCCGTGAAGCAGTAATGCGTTTCAGTTTGAAGGGTGGGGCCGCCGTTGTAATGATACTCGAGACCTTAGAACTTATATCTCAAGGTGGGTGGCGCATTTACGTTGTAGATGTCTATGGGCTCCAGTAACCACTTAAGACCAGGTGGGCTGTGAGCTCGTCCACCCATCTAAGCAATAAAACAAAAGATTACTTTATTGACTCATAGGTAAATCTGCCCTATCTGATATGAAGGTTCTATCACCTATGAATATCATGCTAATGCTAATCAAACTAAGGACACAATCGCGTGCATATGCGTTGTGATGTCAACGGGCTACAGTCATTTTAAACCAGGTAGGCTGTGTTTACGGGTTTTCGTTCACACAACTAAGCAATTAAGAAAAACACGTCAACACCACTACAAAAAAGCCTGTGGACATGTGCGGTAAGTGCAACCTTCATAAGTATATTAACTCATTATTTCGTAAGGTAAATCCTATAAATATATTTGTTTCTCTCTTGTATCTGTCGCTTTTCTAGTGTTATTTTCGTTTTATAGAGCTTCAAATAACAATAATGATAAAGAAGTTCACCTTCGAAAAACTAGAAATCGTCAAGTCGATCAAACTGGGCTGCAATTCATTAAAAATCATTTGGTTTGAACATTATTGAAGATGTGAATTTTCCATTTGTACGTACAGATTTGGAATAAAATACATCCCATGGACAATATTCATATTATTTCATTAAACTATGACACGTTTTACACTGCACCATGCTCGCAATGTGCTTAAAAACTGTCAAAGTTATCTGTTCGCGTATTAACATGTTATAATAAATCTCAGAATTTCTCTCTGTGAGAATCTCTGAATTTCCGCCAACTCCTATGTGAGCAATGTGTTTATTAATTAGAATTGAGGGGATAATTTAATATAAAATTCTATCTCCCACTTGCTATTGTTTTTTTGCTCAAGTTTGTAGTTAGATTAAAACCAAAATAGCTTTTCTTCGGATTACTTCATTGTTCAGTTTTTTCAGTTGGTTACCACTGTGGATCCTACCTACATGTGAGCTACAATAGTGAAAATGAATGGCGGGAAAACAAATGAAAAAGAAACCGTATTTTAATAATTTCTCAAAATATTCATAACCCTCAATGTTCACCACGCATCTTGTCTCCATGATTGTGCTCTATCGGTAATAATAACTTTAAGCCATAACTAACAATTTTATTAAGATCTCGCTCTGTTGCAAATTAATAATGCCTTCTGTTTTTTGTTGTTTGAATTTTCAATACATTTTAAGCAATATTGTTTTTTTATAATTTACTTTGAATAACAATTAGTCTCCCCAACGCTATAATATCATGTAGAGAGGAATGAAGGGTCAGAGTGCGATCACATCAGACGCTTATCGCTTACGTGTAAATACCGACTCTACAGTGCATAATTATATTGAAAATCATAACTAACAATACATAATTTAATACAATCGGAATAATTCTGATGCTTCGTTCGAGTCCTCTCTGACAGACGCTTATCTTTTTTCTTGTTTCGGCAGTGAATTTCCACGTTTGACAACCATATGTCAAACATGGCAAAAGGCTCGAGTTCATGACTTTTGTTTTAATGGCTTGTGGTAGATTATCCTTAAAAATATCCTTGAGACCCCAGTACTTGTTCCATGTTGATTTTATTCTTTTCTCTATTTCTATGTTTTGGACCATACTAATTTGAAATAAGACTTATTTTTCGGGCCGTTTTTGAAGCGCTTATCGGGAATCTAGTACTATTATTGATCGAAGCTAACAATACATAATTTAATACAATCGGAATAATTCTGATATATTCACCAGAAATTTTTACGATTTGAATACTTTGTCTACTCCTCAGTATTATATCATCAATACGTAATATTAATTATAAATCATAATATAAATAAACATAAATTAGAACAAGAAACTTTTGAGTCCGTACCAGCCGAGACATTTGTGAATTTGTGAACGCCGTTTTCACAGAAAACAATATATTAAGCCCCCGAAAAACACCTGAGCTTGAAGCATGTTTAAATTGGTTGTTTTAATTCAAAATTGAACCTAATTTCATTCGTTGCCCAGTTCCAGTAATTGCGTTTTACATTATTATTCGTCGCTCAAATGATTATAGATGTTTAAATATTCGGTGAGTTATGCTAACAATTTTCTGAAACCGATCTCACCTATGCCAAAGTCGATATCCTTCAATATAATAAATAGAATGGTATGTACCTACCTCATAAAATGGACCGAGTAACTCTGATGATTGCCGACATGGTAACTCTAAACAGAAGTAAAATATGCTGTTCTGCAGAACAATACTTTTCGGAGAACGCGATAGATCGCCCCCTTTCGTTTCAAATCAGCGTCGGATTTACGAAACAATTCACGAAAACGATGTACGTAATGTAAATTCTTTCATTTGTATTGCATTTTGGAAATTTACAATAGTGAAATAATTTGGTAACGTTTAGGTAATTTTTTAATAATAATTTGGTAATGTGTATTGAAATTGACCGCAATAAAATTCAATAATTATCTTTTGTGCAACGTATGTTCCTAATATTTTGGTATATAATCGGTATGATCATGCCCATTTCTCCCGTGATGCAGATATACTCGTACGTTCCAGTTTGAATGATGTGATAGCCATCATACAATAAATTAAAACCTTCGAACACATTTCTTGGTTTGGTGTCATTTACATCATGTCTAATGATTCCTTAACATCTAGTAGATTTTAAGTTCGAAAACACATTAAATGATAACATTAACTATTTTATCAACGGCTAGAAGTGACATTGAAATGTATATTTAACCTAAATAATTCCTGTCCTTTGCGTTTCAAAACAGAAAAAGCGCGTATACAATAACAACTGGTGGCATGATTGCATTATAAATTTAGAGTATTTGTAATATTTCTAACTGGCATTTCCAATCTCATTTTATCAATTTTATTAAGATCTGACCAGTATTTTTTGAGTTATCCTCAAAAATGCATATTTAATTAACTTCGACTATATTGATGACATTCTCATATTTTTTTTTGAAGTCAGCTTTCTTAACAAATATTACGAAATTTAAAACAACAAAACTACAATACTTCTTATAAACTTTCGTGGCTATCGATATTATAAGCACTATTATTTAATAGATTATAATTTATACTATACCGATATTTCGAGAACTCGTTAACAGCTACAATTCGTCGTTAGACTACCACCGTTAGATAATGGTGTTTACAATACTTATGATAGCTTTGTGCGTTCAAACAGTTACTAGTTATATTATTGATAAACAATTATAAACATAGAGTTTTAATACTATATAAATATTAATCAAATGCCGCGTTTTGCTTAAGAAAGCTTTCTTACAAAATTATATATTGAACAAAAATAAGCATTTATGTCTCGTCGTAAGCATAAAAAAAGCTTAAAAGTAGTACAGTGTGTGTTTATTTAAATTGACTAAAAAATTAAAAGTTACATCACAAATGCATCATTGTATCATAAACTTTTTTTACGTTTTACGATGCGAGTACTTTTAGAGGCAATACAATTATTATATTGTATTGTATAATCTAAAGAAGACTTGTAAAAGAGATTGTAATCACAACCTAAACTAACCAAAACCAAAACTATTCCAAATGATAGTTAAAAATTATAGAGACTAGCACACAAAATTAATTTGAAAAACTAAATGAAATAATGGTATCAATCAAATTGTCAAACAACGTAGATACTCGTATAACAGACCTTGCTCCCGAAGAGAATAAATATCCTTGGCTACTTCCCATGTAACCTTGAGAACCATATATTCTTATTCAACACAAACGTAATAAATTCGTACTTCGATAATTTATTTGACTGTGCTTTGTATTCTTAACTAATAATATGAAGATGCTCGTAAATAAATAATAGTGAGTACCGCCCACGTAAGTTGTTTTCCATGAGTTGGACGCACTCACATAGTAACAGTGATAGCTTGCCAGTGTGATATTTGGTGTGATTTAAATTGTGTAATGGAATATTCCGTGGTCTCGTTATCCCAGACACATGCAACAAAATATGTACGTTCATTATACGTGATAAATTATTAAAATGAGCTTACCCATTTACAAAATTTACAAACAAAAACTTTAAATCAGAAGCATACACACGCACAATAGCTAATTTAATAAGTTTACTATTATTGCTTCATTATCTGATATGATCTAAAATAATACAACACAAGACCCACGGTTTCTTATAATGTTTACGCTGTCTACATAGTTATAGATTTAACAACTAAATAGTTATTAAGTAACTATTTAGTTTACAAAGACAAAAGACAAAATAACAACTTACCGGGCTTAAAATGTTTTCAAATTTATATTCCGCGTTACAAAAAATTCATAAAAAAAACATTAAATAATTAGTCAGAAAAACATCGTATCGTAGGAGCAGAGCGAGACGCCAACACGCACGACGCACTGTCCCAAACACACGCGTATCGCTGGTATCTATGCTGGCGTGCACAGTGAAGCTATCAAGAACACACTAAAACCAACGAACTCAATATAATCTGTACGAAAACAACCAAATGAACCTATAAGATAGTTCGCTATCTACAGACTGGTATTAAAGACTGTCTTACCATAGAGCTTCAAAAGAGAATTATCTATCATATACCTATGAATGTTTACTTATTCAGTGAAGTTATCTTTATGTCAACACTTATTATCGTATAATATTATTTATATTGTTATGCTCTATTAATCGGTCAAAGGTCATTTATCGACAATATTGGAACTTGAACAAACAACCGTTTCAATACCTACTGTTGGTTGGTGATACTTTTTAAGGACAAGAAAGTCAAGACAAAGTAAGGCTTTATTTTTATTGATGATTACTGAAATGGAATGTTTTTTTTAATGATTAATTTAATAACTCTGTTTGCTTAATCATCGAGCGTAGTTCAAACATTAGCATCGTTGCTTTTGCAGAATGATGAAATGGTTTTGAGGAAACTGTGAAACGGCCTGCGTCATTTAATCTAAGTTTATACTCTAACGCAATAAATTTATTACTTGAAATACTGAAAAATATATAACAGCCACCAGTTCAAATGTGTTTTCCAGTGAAATCATTGACAATAATTCCAGATGACCAAACAACGTCTTGTTTGATCCACTGTGCATATCGACGTGTGGTGATTGGGTGGCACAGTACATTTCGAGACACATGATATTAATAGAGTTATCAGCACAGAGCAATGTACCCGCGATCCGGGGGCACCGTCATCAACAAAAATACTTGAATAAAACAATTTTATTTCAGAGAGGTACTCTCAAACATACCTCTGTGAATTTCATGAAAAAAGTTGATACGGAAATAGAAATATTTTGTTTACGTTTTAAAAGTCAACGCTAGCCAGACTAATAGTGGACGAGAAATTCATAACAATACGAGTATGCTTATAAAATGTCGCTCAGAATATAATCGATGAATCACTTTACTTGACTTGCTGAAATCCTTGAAGATCTTTGATAGCGGTTTGAGTTTAGTGATTGAACAAATTGATACTTTTAGCTTTTATACCAATCTATATATAATTTTATTTTATTTGTAAAAAAAAGGCAAAAGCACGAAATTAAAAATGTTACTTGAAGAGCATCTGTCACTTTACACCGAAACGAAACGTACGCGTCCTTAAAAAAATGTGGCCAATTTTTTTTTACAGGAAGGATTACTGGTGACCCGGAGGCCTTTCTGGTTTCACCAGGATAGGTGGACGAGCAAAGGCTTAGCCAAAATTTAAGGGATTTGCTAACAGCTGCCCAACCGCCTCCGAAGACCTAAGTTCGAGTTCGACGAGTACGGCTACCAGAGCCCCTAAGCCTGCTCCTATTGTTAGAGCTGAAGGTGCCTAATGGAAAAGTTATTGGGTCCGTAAGGACGTGTCTAGGGCGTCGACGGCGACTAGCTCCTGCGTGAGCAGGAGTCGGGTAATAGTGTGCGGCGGCAACGATAAGGCCTTATCATGACGCATGGCCTTATCGAAATACCGTTCCGACACTGACTTCAGGTATCCCGGATCGATTCAAAATCCAGATCGTCGTGTAGGTCAACGTTTCTCATGAACCACGGCGCTCCGACGGCTAACCTACAAAAACGGGACTGTAGGGATTAGAGGGTGACTGTGTGTGTGCGGGTCGCCTGAGCGAACACCACACTCGCGTATGTCATAACGGATCTTATGCAAGTTTTGTAAAGTGCTACATTATTCCGAAGGGACATTTTACTCCGCATACAAATCATATCTGCCGAGAATAAACGCGGCGCGATCACGGACAGACTTTATGTGTGGGCGGAATATCATTGATGTATCCAGAGTGACTCCTAGGTACTGGACCTTCCTGGCCCAGAGTATCGGTTGACCGAAGAGTGTGATCGGTAGTTGGCCAATTGTACATCACCAATCTCCCTTTTGTGACATTACTCAATGTTCACGTTTATTCGTTCGGTTTTTAGGGTCGTAAGAAGTTGGTCTTATCCGTATTCGAAGCTTACACGCTTACGATACATACGATAGGATTGAGTGATGAGTCGAGATCTAAAATTTTTTTAGGAAATCTGTTATAAAATAGTTCTTCTTATCAATAGATTATACCTAATTGAACAAATAACTAGACAACATTAATCGATTGTTATCGGTTTGTCTTATTTGAATGCAAACTTACCACATAAGCATAATAATGAAACCAACAATGCATCGTTAATTTTTGCAAGTAACAATTTCAGAAAATAAAATTCATTTTAAGTAATAATACTAGTAGACATGCAACTGTTGAACTGTTATCGGTCATTCACCGGACGTCAGCATCGTAGATATAGACCCATTTCGAAAATCAAAACATACATACATTGATATGTATTGTAGTAATAACGATATTCCTTGGCAAGTTTCCATTACTCCACCCCGCTCTACTCGTCTATGCAATATACAAGATGAAAATTAACCTAATTTTTATTGTTGCCGTTACAAATGGTGGTTTTATAAACCATACGGACATGTAATAAAGCACTTTTTATTCGAGCGTTGTTCGTTCTTCTATTATAAAATATTTGAAACTTTTAAATTTCTATTCACGTTTTTTTTCGTTCCAGATTTCTAAGTAGGTACTTTTAAATTGTGCAATTATTTTGCAACTTTGGATTAAATCTATTTAATTTCTGAGTATGACATGTCCTTCTTCAAACGAGGCTTGTGGAGAGTATTAAGCGGTAGGCAGCGGCTTGGCTCTGCCCCCGGCATTGCTGAAGTCCATGGGCGACGGTACCCACTCACCATCAGGTGGGCCGTATGCTCGTCTGCCTACAAGGGCAGTAAAAAAAACTTTTAGTTCTGTTAATTTAATGTATACATATACCTAATATCTATATTGATACTGAAATGACTAGACAAACGGAAAACGAGTTTTTAAATACCAAAGCGATTGTTTGTTTTTTTTTAAATGTAATTCATATTATTACTTGAAAGAAAAATATACCTTCCAAATCTAGAAATTTTAACGACTATCTTTCCATAATTTGTATCGAAATTTTTTGTTTTACGCAGAACAGAAACTGATCAACTTCATAATTAAAAATATTCAAAACATTCATTTTGACACAAGTGACACAAATCAAATTCAATTTGACACAATGAATCGGGCAAATCTTATTTCATTACATGAACAATATTGAATTCGTTTGCCGAATCACAATAGCTGTCTCATGCAAGTCAATTATGTCTATCTGCCGCCTGGTTAGTTACCTATAGCAACTGATACGACACGAACATGAACTCATTCACGAGCGGAACAAGTTGCTCGCCCGAAACTGTTCAACATGATTATAACGTAGTCAAATTGAATTAAAACACAATTGTGTTATCTTAAGTTGACAGTTGAAAGTATAACTTTCATTGTTTACTAGACAATAAGTAGCTAGCAACAATGCTGATATCTGGCATAACGTCCACTTTGTTAAATAAATTTAACGAACACTTACGATAACGTCAGATAGTGTCGTCGTGGAAACCGATATAAATTAATATTATTTGTCTACCATGTGTGATGTACTCATGGAATGTAATTCACTTGCAATTCAAAAATACTCAAATATTTTTTAACAAAAACGGGATTCTTCTATTCTATAAATCATATGTTATTTTAATATGCGCATCAAAATGTCCTTTTTTTTTATTACTGAGATGTGTGGACGAGCTCACAGCCCACCTAGTGTTAAGTGGTTACTGGAGCCCATAGACATCTACAACGTAAATGCGCCACCCACCTTGAGATATAAGTTGTAAGGTCTCAGTATAGTTACAACGGCTGCCCCGCCCTACAAACCGAAACGCATTACTGCTTCACGGCAGAAATAGGCAGGGCGGTGGTACCTACCCGCCCGATCTCACAACAGGTCCTACCACCAGTAATTATGCAAATTATAATTTTACGGGTTTCACTTTTATTACACGATGTTATTCCTTCACCGTGGAAGTCAATCGTGAACATTTGTTGAGTACGTATTTCATTAGAAAAATTGGTACCCGCCTGCGGGATTCGAACACCGGTGCATCGCTTCAACACGAATGCACCGGACGTCTTATCTTTTAGGCCACGACGACTTCAGAATAAATATGATTTTTAGTAACAGGAATTACTTATTAATGTCGATCATAAGATTATTCCAAAAGGCGAAACTAATTAGTCGACAGATACCTACGTAAATACTACGAAATAGACTGTAAAAATAATTGATGCAGATATTATATAATTCTTACGTAGGCAGATACTAATGGAAATCTGTAGTAAGTAATCAGAATTTTCTGCTTTAAAATATATTTCAAATTCTTTGTTTGAATAGCGAGATTGAATATTGAGGGAGTAGCAAAAAATCTGCAGCGAAATGTTGAAATCAGGGAGTTTTCTGTTTAAAGGGGAATATATAATTTGCACTGGGGGTCAGGGATACGTATCGAGGTATTCCCAAGACTCTGCGCTTGCTGCAGGTGGTAATAATATGTAGACTGTTCTATAGTGATACTTGCAGCAGCCATGTCGCCGTGCCCAATGTGTAATTACGAAATATGTCATGAAAGATGTAGCATAAAATGTCTACGTGTCACGTATTACATGCTATATTCAATAATTTTGATGACTACAGCAACGTTGTTATTTTTATAATAAAAAAGTTTTAATTTATTTATTGCACATAACTGTGACAGATCATTCATCAACGTATAAATTGTCCTTCAAGGTATTTTCACAATTATAAGCAAAATACTGTACTGTTAAAAGTGAGACCTTACAACTCATGTCTCAAGATGGGTGGCGGCATTTTTTTTTCTTTTTTATTGCTTAGATGGGTGGACGAGCTCACAGCCCACCTGGTGTTAAGTGGTTAATGGAGCCCATAGACATCTACGACGTAGACGCGCCACCCACCATGAGATACAAGTTCTAAAGTCTCAGTATAGTTACAACGACTGCCTCACCCTCCAAACCGAAACGCATTACTGCTTCACGGCAGAAATAGGCAGGGCGGTGGTACCTATCCGCGCGGACTCACAAGTGGTCCTACCACCAGTACCACTTAAGATCAGGTGGACCGTGATCTCGTTCACTGATCTATGTAAAAAAAAACATCGTTACCTAAAAAACTTATAACCGCTCGTTTGCAATAAGAAACATCAATTTTAAACACTAGAAGATGCATTTTAGTTAGTAGAAAATGTGATTGAGTCAATTGCGAGAATCCATGATCACAACCACGTCCAAAAGATGTCACTCAAGGAAAACGAATGCTTAACATGATATCGTGCATAAGTTCAATATAATTTATAAAATCAATATTTGAAGCCTGTGTGTGCGACAATCTTCAGGTTGATTAATTAATTTTTAAATATATACAGCTGTTGTTGGCACTACGGGGAAGATTTTGTTAAATTATATCAACGTGGCGCACAAGTTTTTTTTTATTGCTTATATGGGTGGACAAGTTCATGGCCCCCTTGGTACTGAGTGGTGACTGGAGCCCATAGACATCTACACTGTAAATGCCGCCTCCTACATCGAGACATGAGTTCTAAGATTTCAGTTTTTACGGTGCAACGGCTGCCTCATCCTTCGATCCGAAACACATTACTGCTTCACGGTAGAAATAAGCAGAGTTGTGATACCTACCCGTACGGACTCACAAGACATCATACCACTAGTGAAGTGGAATTGAAGAATGGATATATTTTGCAAACACATACTCACTATTGAGAAACATGGCTGAGATTATTGTATATGACATAAATAATCAAAAATACGAATAAAATCTATAAAATCAAAAGTGAAGATCATTCAACGCATCAGAAGTCGTCGTGGCCTAAAGGATAAGACGTCCGGTGCATTCGTGTTGAGCGATGCACCGATGTTCGAATCCCAGGCGGGTATCAATTTTTCTAATAAAATATGTACTCAAAAAATGATCATGACTGACTTCCACGGTGAAGGAATAACATCGTGTAATAAAAATCAAACTCGCAAAACCATGATTTGCGTAATTACTGGTGATAGGACCTCTTGTGAGTCTGCACGCGTAGGTACCACCGCCCTGTCTATTTCTGCCGTGAAGCAGTAATGCGTTTGAAGGGTTTGAAGGGTGGTGCAGCCGTTCTAACTATACTTGAGACCTTAGAACTTATATTTCAAGTTGGGTGGCGCATTTACGTTGTTAATGTTTATGGGCTCCAGTAACCACTTAACACCAGGTGAGCTGTGAGCTCGTCCACCCATCTAAGCAATAAAAAAAAAGCAACAAAAAAATATATACAGAAGGTCTTCAATTATGCAATCTTCAATTCATTGACTGCGGGAGAACTTCGAATGCATGGAACAACAGTATTATTGTCCTCTTTTTCAGAAAAGGGAACAAAACCCTTTCGAATAGCTATAGACCGATCTCCCTCCAGAGCCACATCTATAAGTAGTTCTCACGCTTCTCACGAACCGGGAGCCTTGCGAGAACATAGATCTTTGATCAGGGTTTAAACTTACATCGTGGTGATCATTAATTCCCTCACACAATGTGCAAGTATTTTAGTATACTGACTTTTAAATTTAAATGACTAAATACTTGTATTAGAGAAAAACTTTTCAGGTTTCGATGCAAAAATCGGTATTATGGTTATGACCAGCAAAGTTATATGTAGCCTGCACCATTCACAATACTTGGTGCATCTAATGGTATATCTAATGGTGTTATAAAATTTATGAACAGTAGGAGGTCACCAGTGCTCACGGTCTTATAAGCGGTCGATAAACTTGCTTTTTACACTGAAACGACACTATTTTATTTATAATTTTTTAAGCGGCTATAGAACGTAAATAAGCAACTTATTTAAATAACAAGACGTAATTTAAAACGTTTGTCTGTTTATACTACTAGCATTGAAAGTAAACAATAAGACGTTGATCAATGAATAAAATCAAAGTAGACGTAGATAATTGGTACACAAAAAATATTTAGTGTTTAATCGGTTTGATTTTTCTGATCAATGACTTTTAGTTTCTGATGCTGAATAATAATTATTCTAATACACCGTCTATATTGAATATAAATATTAGTGTATCGAATCATGAGCAGATATCACCATTATACTTGCTTATACCGCGAAGGAGTCAGGATGTCCGGTTTGAAGAGTTGTATAATTAGGATTGCAATTTCTAGATTATAATAGATTGCAATTTAAACTTTATTTGTTATTTCCATAGGCTCCAGTGCCCATTTAAAACCAGATGAGCCATTCGTCTTCCCATTTACAGTAATAAAAAACTGAATATCGATACAGAGTTAGACAATGATAATAATTTTTAGTTATGACCAAGAGAATAAGAAGAAATCTGCAGGAGTATATCTCTACCTAGCAACCTATGCCGCTATCAAAACTAAAGCCAAGGCTTACCCAAGCAAAGTATTTAACCCTCACCATGGAAAGTGCTGTGTGACCCGCTCCGCATGCCGTTTTAATTAATACCAGATGCAGCTCTTTCTGGTATCCTCCATGTGCCACAAATGGATGTAAGATTTGGAATTCTGGTCGTCGTTTGTCTTTAAATGGAGGTTTCTAATAAAATTCCCTTTAAAGTGGCACAGGAAGGGAACACCTCGGTATTTTTCAGCAGGAATCCGTTTCACCTCAAAGACCACTTTTCAAGTTCAGACACTTTCCCCTGTTTCGCTAGGCTTGGGACGATACACTCTTAGCTCAATTTTCCCATGCGAACAAAAAAGCCTGCCTGCATAAACAAAGTTGATAAGAACAAGCGCTTTTATAGACGTTTAAATGTTCCACCTATTTAGATTGTAAATTATAAATGCAAAACAAATAGCAAAAGTATTTTGATCTCTAACATGTAATATTTACTAAACCTTTTTTTCACGAGTATAAACGTTCACCAAAAACTTTACTTTCAACATATTTTTTTCCTTTCGGGCATTGTGAAAGTTATATTTGTTCTGTACACGCCCGACGGCGCCTTTGATATGATTCTTTGTCTGTAATCATAATCATTGTTTTTAATGTTTTTGTTTTTTTGTCTACATTTATGTTTCAAAAAAGCCACAATTTTGGCCCCAAATCAAAAAGTGGCTCAGTGTTCTTTTATTGTAATTTTGTCATCGTGGGCTAAAAAGGATAAGACGTCCGGTGTATTCGTATCTAGCGATACAACGGTGTTCGAATCCCGCAGGCGGGTACCAATTTTTCTAATGAAATACGTATTCAACAAATTTTCACGATTGACTTCCACGGTGAAGGAATAACATCGTGTAATAAAAATCAAACCCGCAAAATTATAATTTGCGTAATTACTGATGGTAGGACCGCTTGTGAGTCTGGAAGGGTAGGTACCACCACCCTGCATATTTCTGCCGTGAAGCAGTAATGCGTTTCGGTTTGAAGGGTGGGGCAGCCGTTGTAACTATACTGAGACCTTAGAACTTATATCTCAAGGTGGATGGCGCATTTACGTTGTAGATATCTACGGGCTCCAGTAACCACTTAACACCAGGTGGGCTGTGAGTTCGTACAGCTTACTAAGCAATAAAAAAAAATTTGACGTCTCGTCTACTAAATTACTAACTCTATGAGCCACATCTGCATATATACTGAGCTATAAGTGAACAACAGTTAAATTACTCAGTGAACAACAACAACAGAATGTTTACCTGGATGTTGATATTTGAAATTATTTTGTTGTACGTCGTGTCGGGACCAAGTCACGCGCTCACCGGCGGCACCTCGCACAACATCACCACCTGCGAGGAATTCGAACGCGGAGCTCGGTTCGATCCATACGCGATTATCGATTCAATGTGGAAAATATTCTACTTTTGGGCAAACACAACGGAGATCAATCCAATTGTGTTTTCGTTGCCCGCAAAAAAGGTGAGTAGTCATTAGGTGAACCGTAACACACTAAGTTTGATTTGAATTTAAAACTCAGATCATCATCGATTTTGTTAATTTGTTATTCATCATCAGTATTTAATTTAATCTATCTATATCTATACTTAATATTATAAAGAGGAAAGATTTGTTTGTTTGTTTGTTTCGAATAGGCTCCGAAACTACTGGACTGATTTGAAAAATTCTTTTTCCATTAGAAGCCGACATTGTCCCTGATGAACATAGGCTACTTTTTTTTTATTTATTTTTTATTTTATTTTTTTGGTTTCTTGTGTGTTTTAATGTTTCCGAAGCGAAGCGAGGGCGGGTCGCTAGTATATATATAAATGAATTGCTGTTCGTTAGTCTCGCTAAAACTCGAGAGAGGCTGGACCGATTTATAGTCTTGAATTATTCGTGGAAGTCCAGAGAAGGTTTAAAAGGTTAGATAAATATGAAAATGCTCGGAAAAAAATAACAATTTTATTTTTCCTTTGATGTGTCCCCCGTCGGACGGATTCCTTTTGTTTTTTTTAAGTTTATTTTATACAAAAGCTTAGGTCTTTTATTTATCGATTGAGGCACTACGAAGTCTGCCGGGTCAGCTAGTTTTGAATAAAATTGTCAACACATCATTTGTTTTCAATAAAGATTTTAGGAGAAATAACAGTTTTAAAATATCTCCGCAACTAAATAGTGAGGAAGCCTCGCATCGAAATAGCAACAAAAAGAAAAAAAAATCCAATGATGCCCGCCTTTTAATTTCAGACGAATAAAATTATTAGGCAGCGGCTTGGCTTTGCCCCGGCATTGCTGAAGTCCATGGGCGACGGTAACCACTCACCATCAGGTGGGCCATATGCTCGTCTACAAGGGCAATAAAAAAAAATCCCATCAAGATATCGTTTGCCGTGACCATTAATAAATATCAGCAAAAATTTAAGCACGTAGAAGTCGATTTACGTTAAATCTATTTTTCACCCGTACACCTGTATGTCGTGCTATCAGAATCAGCTTGCGGAAAGACCAGTATGTTCTTCTATCGCATGAAAATAAAACGAAAAATATCATGTACGCCGAAGTACTTTAAAATACTATTTATCTTACGTTACATAAATAACGTACATAATATTTTAATATGCCTACATTTTATTTTTAAAAGACCCCATTAGTGTTACGCAGCTTTCCTTCATTATTCCTATTCCTGTGAGGTTATTTGCTATAGTAGAAGTCGTCGTGGCCTAAAAAATAAGACGCCCGGTGCAATCGTATCAAGCGATGCATCGGTGATCGAATCCCGCAGGCAGGTACCAATTTTTCTAATGAAATACATACTTGACAAATGTTCACGATTGACTTCCACGGTGAAAGAATAACATCGTGTAATAAATATCAAACCCGAAAAATTATAATTTGCATGATTACTGGTCGCAAGACATCTTGAGTCCACCATGCCTATTTCTACCAGCCGTTGTACTGTTAAAACAGACTTAGAACTTATGTCTCGAGGTAGGTGGCGGCATTTACGTCGTAGATGTCTACGGGCTCCGGTAACCACTTAAGACCAGGTGGGCCGTGAACTCGCCCACCCACCTAAGCAATAAAAAATAAATAAATAAAGTTCAATTCTTACTGATCATAGCGTGATGTACCGAAGATAACCTATCTTAACTTTTAACGTGGATAGTTAAAAAATCGAAAGAAATCTTTAAATGAACCAATAAATCATTTTTTACCTTACCTTTATCAATTACATACAAATAATGTTTTTTTCTGTTTTCGTTCCCGTATTTTGAATATGCAGTGTACCTACAAAATTTTGTTCAATAGTTCTCATGACGAGGTTCGTAGATAAAACAAAGAAAGTTTCAGCTCCAGCAGTTAGGATTGTATTAGAGATGTCTGCGCCCTCTCTTACTCTCTCTTTCTCTCTCCTGTGTGATGTAGACGAATTTACGTGGGTTGGCTAGCAGATAATAATTAAATAATATTTTAGAGGTTAGCAAAGTTTAAGGAAGTAATAGAAGCAATCGAGCCACATCTTGAGGTGGAATGGCAAAAAGCGACGATGTTCATGACCCCTAGACCGGGCGTTGAGGTTCTCCTGCTGCATGCGACAACACCAGGAGCATTTCGAGCACTCGTCAAGCAAGAACAGCGTCATAAAGGTATTCCAATATTGTTCTGTACCCGCGCACTTGCCCCCCCTCCGCCATTTCCGCCCGTAACTTTTCCGCCCGTCTTGACTCATAATGACACTAAACAGGTCGCGTTTTCACCAAGTTTTTTTTCGCATTTCGTTCCTAATGACTTTTGTCGTTTCATTTCTTAAGAGCGCGCTGTCGACTTCTTCTGTATTTGACCTATATCGATAAAATAATAATATAAAAAACGAGATTAATCCTTCTAAAATTGATTTCATTAAAATCAAATGTCTATTTTTAAGTTAATATGTCATGCTTGTTTACTAATGATTTTTAATAATGTAGATTTCATCATAGTATATGGTCATATGATTTATAAAAATAACGTATTTAGAATTGTTAAAAATCGCAAGTAGATATAATTTCGTTAAATTACATATTTATAAACATGTTATTTTTATTTATAGCAAGACCACAACCAGTGCCATTAGTAAAATTCGCCGATATACGAATAAAGTTAGTAAATCAGTTTATGGGAATGATGTGTTGTGAAGACCTAACTGCGTACGCTCTGGCAAGAACCGATAGCATTCCAACCACAGAAAAAAGTTGCAAAGAAGCTGCTGACAAAATCGGGTACAAAGGGCCAGATGGAAGATCTTATCTTTTTTTGCAGAAAAGGCAAATTGACGATGAATTTTAAATTTATAAGAAACAATTTTAGTCCGAAAACCATAGCGACTTGAAAAAAAAAATGTTTACAAAACAACAAGCCTCCAGCGACTTTACAACGTTTTACAAGTAAATCATTAAATAACGTAACTCTGATTTCTTTCTAAAATGGAAAATTTCGACAACAAAATTTCAAAACAAACAAAATTCTTAAAACGATGTTAATCTATCTGGCCTTTTGATTATCTTTATTGAAATAAACAATGACCAATCATCTGTAATGCTGTTCACTGAAAAGGTTGGACTTACTAGTACCGGTGAAGACACAATAAAATATGTTTTAACATTATTATTTTTATTGTTTGAGTTTTGCACATTATGATCGGTTTGATTTCATTGATTCAATCAATCAATCTTTAATTGACTATTGAAGTATTTTATAATATTAATTGATTATATTAAAAAGATTTCTCGAGTCGTAGATAAGATTAAACACAGTTTTTCATTTTAATATCTAAATGTACAATAAAACACAACAAAAAATCTGTGATGTTTTCCATCCAACAGTGCAAAGTTACAAACAGTGTAAGAAATACAGTACACGTAAAATATGTTTGCGGGAAGGTATTGCGTGCTATAATTGATTTATTGGCAGATCGGGACCGTGAAAGTCCCATTTCCCACATTACTCAGTAAAATATCGATGGAACCACAGCGAGCTCGAACAAGAAGTGCAAAATCTATGCTTTTATTAGATAAAAAATCCATCAAGTCATCTTTGGTTCGTATTTGCAGTCATAATATTACAATACAAAATTTTTTCGTGTTAAATGTAAGAAAATACAGTTATAAACATAAGAATAATAAAACAGCACCTTTTTTCACAATACACACACATATGTACGTAGTTTATGCGTATTTCAGGCTGTCTCTATAAGTTTCACTGAAAGCCGGATATTGGTGAACGTTAGGATTTTCCGGCATATCCTGACGTTCTCCAATAGCTCGTGATATTTACAAAGAAAACAAGACTCTAGAAATATCAACTGTTACTTTGCTACTAGATTTAAAAATGCATATCTTAAACTAGAACCAACTTACTACTAGAAATTTGCATTTTGAATATAAGCTGCCAGAACAATTTAAGTTATATTCCTGATATTAAAAATGTGAAATTTACTCCTGAGACTCACCCACTGATGCTCTTATAAATTAAAATTTTAATAACTCATTCCCCAGGGGTTCGTTTTATTACCATTAAAATATTATCTTGTTATATGGAAGTTTATTCTGTCAATAGCAGTGATTTATTTTCTCATCATGCCTCTCGCACGTGTATCGATCGTTACTTTGTGTTCTCAAGTAATTTATTCCACTCCTTATCTTTTAATAGCACTACTGTTTTTTATAACGACGGACACGCCATTGATAAAAGTCGCTTTATTTTAGCAGAGAATATTCATGAGTCTGAAACTTCGCTTTGACATTTTAGGTTATTCAAACTTTATTGTAATCGTAAATCGTAATTATTGTAAATATATATTATATGAAGATAAATTAGTAAAGCCAAAAACCACAGAAGGTACCAATAGTCTTTATCGCCAATGGAGAAAACGGTACATTCAAAATAAATGCAGTCTGTCTACAGAATGTAAAGATTATGTATTGAACAGCAGTCAAGCTCATGGCCTAACTGAGTCAGTTACCGCACACCTCAATGTGAACACTACCGCCTGCTTTGAGGCATTAGATAGAAAGTTATTAAATGACTATTCTGCCTCTCAAATCGGAACACATCATCGCTTTACGTCAGAAATTGGCAAGGCTCTCATCTCAAACCACAACAACAACCACCAGTGCTCAAGGAAGATGATGAAATAAGTTAAAGAAGTTAAGTAGAAAAATTAGCTGAAAGTAAGCTGATGGTAGAAGTATTAGTTCGAGGAAGCTGGAAACTTATACTCGTATCTTGAAAATTAAAGAATAACATTTAACTGAGAAGCATTATTTCCCGATGTAAATTTATACTTTTTTTTGTCTTGCAAAAATATTCCGCCAATACCTAACTGTTAAAAAACTCGTGTACTCAATTCAATTTAGGATCAACAATATTTTCTTTGAATAAAAAAATTACCTCAATTTTCACCAAATTTATCGCAAAGTTAATGATGTTCATATATTTATATGTCGACTTAGAAAACGAATGTTCCCGTTTATCAAAACGGATTGACACCAACAAAATACTCCAAAGAAGTCAAACAATCTGGGAACCGGAAAATAAATAAGTAAGTATGAAGTCAGAGAGAGATCTGCATTCAATAAGACGTCGTTGGCGAGTGCCTGGGGCTCTCCATATCCACGAAGGCAAATTTATTTTCCTCCGAAGCATACTAGACGTCAACAAATAAGGTTATTTTTCAACGAGAAAGCTGTGTTCATTCTTTTACAGGTAGATAGGAAAGCTGTTTCCATTGGGATCTTGTGCAGCCAAGCAACCAGAATAACCTATAAACCGATGAACCATTTCATGACAACATTGGCCTATACAAACATGGATTATTTTAACATTACTAAAAATAGTTTTGTAGACTAATTAGGCAACACGAAATAAATCCGTATATAAATATTTCTCTTGTAATGCTATTATTACCAAGTATTCTAATTTAACAACAGAGAGTATTCTCAGTGAGCGGTATGAATTATTATTACTAGACACTTATCATCTAGATAGGAGCAATTATTAAAATCTAGCTATCATTTAAAACAAGTTATATAATAGTTTTAAGCCAAATTCTGCTGGTTGGGTGAGTTGTCAAGTCACGCGAGTAGACACCTCCATCTCACTATTTTCTATGACGAAGCTTTAGTGTATTCACTGAAGGGTACTACAGTGTTATCTATAATATACTAAATATACTTCAACGCAATATATTACTAAATATTACTTTCACCTTTTCTTTCAAAAGTGGGGACGGCATTCTGATGGTCCATGGGCAACGACAATTTAATAACCGGTGGGTCGTAACCCGACTATCTCATGCAATTTAAAAAGAAAATTAAGGCCTGTAACTCACACTTTATAGCAAATTAAATTTTCGTGTTTAATTAAAAATGATTTTTTGGTCGTGGCTATTGCAACACGTTTACCCAATTCAACTACGACTTTGTACAGTAAAATTGGGTAATATACAAAAAAAATTAATATGTTGTAGATCTTCGGCCCGTTTGTATGTACAGAATAATCAAAAACAATATGGCACCTACGCACGACAGATGGAACGCGACACACTTGTGGATTGCTTCTCATATTTTTAGCAGCGATAGTCATACCGAAGCAACGCGAAGATTTTGTAGTCGTTCAGAAGATTTTTCTTTTCATAAACGTATTAAACAGGTGAAAACAGATGAAAATACTAAAACATCAAAGTTTCGAACGTATTACACATTGATTTAATTAAATTAAAACGTACCAAGCCGTACCGTGAAGATGGTTCATAAAAACGAACCGAATGCTCTTAGCTGCATTTCTCCTAATTTCATTACGCTTATGTAAACACTGCCGGCTCGCAGATCCTCAATATATAATATTTTGTATAATGCCTACCTCGATCCTTTTTTTTATGACAACCCAATAACAAAAATGCGTCCCTATATTAAAACTTGGTGAGTAGATTTTTCGGTAAAGGAAAGTCTTATCCTGAGAAAATATTATGAGTCGGAGCAGATAAGTCTGGGCCCCGCACGACTTCCCATTTACAGTCTCCGAAGGAATTCCTATTAGTGAAGGTTGTTTCCTTTCTGACGGACCCATAAAAAGTTCTCTTTTAAATGAATGTTCCGCGCGGCCCTCCAAACAAAATGTTCAACTTACAATGCTTGAAAAGGCTGTAAAAACAAACGTAGCGTTTATCGTGATTACAGTTCGACGAAACGCTCGGGAACAATTAACAACCTATATGTACGTGTGTGTGTGTGTGTCCTGGACTTTTTGCGTACGCTTCATCAGAATTGTATTTTGTTTAAATTAATCTTGTTATTATTATTATATTTTGACAAAAATTAAATATAGATGGGTGACCATATAGCCTATCTTTTTTAAAACGGCTATGGGAACCCATAGACATCAGAACGAGAATACCGCGATTACCTTGAAATATGAGATCGAGATCTCAATTGTAATATGATATAACGGCTATCCCACTATTCACAGACTTGACTGCTTCCCTGCAGAAATAGAAAGGATGTTCCGGTGCAAGCTTATAGACACCCTACCGTAAAGGGTCTTAGTTCTGTTAAAATTATTACATGTAGCTAAATATCTATTGAAAAATACGTTAGGTATTTTAAATAGCTAAATATTTCAGCCAGAATGTTTTATACTGTAAGGCTTCCAAAATGAAGTGCGAACAGTTACGATTTTTTTTTAGTTTCTAAAATAAAACAAAATAATAAATCCAGCGAACTATCGATCTCATATAATATTCTCACTAATACTTGAGCGTTAACGTGCGTAAATTAAATTTAGTGTACAATATTCCCCGGTATAAACTCACTATTACGTAGGCTTGGAAAGGATTAAGCCTGGCTATACTTGTCTATAAATGATCCGGGTTTCAGTACATACTACCTGGTTTAGATATTGTAGAGATTAAATCGCAAGATTTGTGTGATACTGTGACGCTCGCAATTCAGCTTGATTAAATATTTCGTTGATCACGTACTACATTTATGTTAGAACACATTATTCCTTAGAAAACGTGTGTAAATGTGACAAACTATTCGTCATTATATAAGAAGTCATCCATACATTTATCCAAGGGCGGATCCAGCTTTGGCGCCAGGAGGGGGGGGGTCACATAGTCAAATTTAGATGCGTTCGTTCCCAAGCGTTTGCCATTATACAAAGTTATTATATTATATTAAATTAATTAAATAGTGAAGGTATGTAGTTACATAAAATCTGTATGGTAACAAAATATATAAATAAAATCATTATATTCAATTAGTGGTCCACCGCAGTCCTGGAACCAGCACAGGGGGTGGTCATGACCCCCATGACCCCGCCCCCTGGATCCGCCATTGCATTTATCATTGACACGTGGAAAAAACGTCGAAACATATAAAACTTGTATTTCTTTACACTTAAAGGAATCCTAAGGCACCTACCTTTGTTCAAATTTTTTTTTGATCCTATATGAATTTTTTGCAATACAATGAAGTAATCTATATATTAAGGTAATATTATATAAATAGATTTTGTTTTTTGGTAACGCTTTCACATCTCAACCGATCATGATGAAACTTTAGAATTTAGTT